TGATTATTTTAGTAATATAGTTTGAAGGCAACATTTTCTTGAATTTTTAAGTACTTTCGTTTGGTAAGGAAAAAAATATGCTTTAGGGGGGGTAAAATTTTGTTTCTGCGCTTATCATGCGAACGCGACTTCAAAGCTTAAAAAGACATAAGAACGAAAAGTGAAGCTTCTCAAGACAAAAATAATGACAAATCGGCCGTCAAATAACCAAGTTACAACGAAAAAACCATTTCGGCTGTATTTCGGAGGGTTAAAAAAAAAAATAAAAATTTTTCCAGAACCCTCTCAACATAATCTTTAAATTTAGGGGCGGACATTAGCAACTTTTTTTTTTTGTATGGGGACCGACCCAGTCTAATGTACGTAATGGTGCCTTGAAGAGAAAAGCAGGAAGTAGATAGTGTCAATTCTGGCGACTATTTTGAAAGCTATTATCTGCCTTTCGAAGGACTAACTGAAAGGCCTGCTGAACGATATGTTTGTCTTTCAGCATTAATTTTCCAAAAATTAAGTTAAATAAACAAAATATATATTTTTCTTTTTGAAACAATAAAAACTAAAAATTAAAATTAAATTTGATCAAAAAAAGAAAAAACAAGTTTATAAAAATTCAATGAAATGAAAAGAAATATTTTTCTTTTTAGTAAATTTTAAGCAAAAAATAAAATCGACTTCAATGCTCATATAAAAATTTAAGAATATCGTTAATATCTTCATGATCCAATGATCGGATCTAAAGCAAATTAGTATTGGACCACCTCGGAGGTAACACCTTTCCTTAAAAAAAAAGAATTATAGAAATCGGTTGACAAAAAATAAAAATATTCCGCCGAATTGGTAATCTCCACCTTTTTTTGCAGTTGGTTAAAAATTTAATTAAAAATTAAATATCAAAGGTAATAAAGAAAAAATTATTTTCTAAAATTAAATGATATTAAAAAACATTAAATGATATTTGAAAACAATATTTGTAAGAATTCAAAGAAAAATAAATTAAAAAGAAGTAAAGTAAAGTTAGATTAAAAAATAAATATTTTTCTTTTTAAAATAACAATATCTTTATCTTAAATTAAAAAAGAAAAAAAAATTTAAAAAGAAAATTTAAAAAAGAAAACAAATAAACAGTTCCACATAAATAATTCCAAAAAAAATTGCAATAAAATCTAAAAATTAAAAGATTAAATTTAAAAAAGATTAAGAAATAATTGATAAAGATAATTAAGACAATAAAGTGAAAGCGAAATTGAAGATAAAATGAAAGCAATGAGAAATACATAAAAATTAGGGTAACTGAAAGAGTAAGAAAATTAACTGAAATTTTTCGATAGGAATCGAAATAAGTTCAGTCATAAAAAATTTAGTTATCGAAAATTGTCAGATAACCGAAATTTATAGAATCATCAAAGCTTATAGTTATCGCAACGTATCGAATATTTCAAATTATCATTTTATAGATTGGCGCTTACACATATGTACGTTAGTGTTTGGCCGAGCTTCTCCTTCGATTTGTGGCGTGCGCGGGAGGGACCTACAGTTTTACGCCGACTCCGTGAAGCTCCTTTTTTCATGAGAGAAATACACACGGAGGTTTGCCATTCTCATTTTTTCTTATAACATTCAGTTTTCCTCTTTTCTATTTTTTTATCATGTTTTTCTTTTTTATGTGTACTTTTTTCTTATTTAAATTTTTATATTTTTTGGGTTTTTTTAATTAATTTTGTTTGCTTTTTTAAATAGTTTTATATAGTTTTTTTTTTAATTTGTTCTTTTTTGCTTATTTTTATTTTCTTTATATTTAGTTTTTTTTTTTAAATTTGTTTTTTGCTTTTATATCTTTTATTTGTTTTTTGCTTTTGTTTTGCTTTTTTTTTTTTTTTTCCTGATTTTTTTTTGTTTATCTTGTTTTTTTTTTATTTTGCTTAATCTTTTATTTTTTATTTTATCGTTTTTTTTGCTTTTTTGTGTTGCTTAATCTTTTATTTCTTATTGTTTTTTCTTTATTTTTTGTTGTTGCCTAGTCTTTTATTTTATATTTTGTTTCTTATTTTTTTCTTTTGTTTTCTTGTTATGTTTCTACTTACTCATTTTGGTTTTTAAATTTATTCTTGTCTCACTTTTTTCTCATTTTTCCTTTTTTCTGTTATTTTCCTCTCTCTTCTTTTTTACCTTTTATTTCCTTATTTTTCAAATTTTTTTCTAATTCTTTCTAATAATTCTAACTTTTTCCTTTTTTATCTTATCTTTTCGCTTTTTTTCTTTCTCCTAGCTTTTATTATTTTTTCTATTTTTCTTAATTTCTTTTTTTGTTATTTTACTTTTTTATTTGTATCCTTTTTTCTTTTTTTTGCTACTTTTTTGTTCTCATTTTTTTCTTTTTTTCTCATTTTATTCCTTTTTTTCTTTTTTAATTTTTGCATTTTTCTCATTTTCTATTTTCTGTTTTCCTTTTTTCAAACTTTGTTATCTTTTTTATGCTTTTTATCTTTTTTATAATTTTTTCTTTTTCATATTTTTGTTCTTTATTTTTTTTTCTCTTTTTTAATCTTCTTTACTATTGCCCTTTTATTTTTATTTTTTAATTTCTCTTTTTCTTTCTTACTCTTTATGCTCAGTTTGTTTCTTATTTCGTTTCATCTTTTCCGTTTTTACCACTAAAAATATCGTGCTTAGTCAGCGATTTTAGACCGATTTTCGTTTCTAAAAGACGGTATTTTTAAACTCTCTCTGATGTCCTAAACGACTAAGGTAAGCTAAAATATGAGAAAATCTTTATTTAGTGATACTTGGCATCCCTTAAATGGTACAAATTTGTTTGTTACTTTTGTATCCAGTATACATTCAGCATAATGCTTTCTATGTTGGCACTGACCAAAGTTCCAATCAAAAGAAAACGTAACACTATATTTAGTCGCCTCGCTGTTTTAATTTATATTAATGATAGAAGAGCACGCTAGTTGCTATCCCATAATCTTAACGCTTCGCTTCTTGTGCTTCCAAATTTGGGAGGAGTAGATCTTCGAACGCATACTGCATATATTACCGTTCGCTCCGCTATCAATCGACGTAGTACTAGAACATCATCATTGAGAGTGTGTACTTTTCACTGAACTTTCTAGGTGGAGTGACACTTTAGCCATTTGAAATTCATAATAAAAATTCCGTACAAATCTAGGCGCACACTAAAAGCCCTTACATGTATGTAAGGCCACAGAGGTGGCTTCATATTAAATAATACGTATGAATACTTACCGCTTGGTATTATTTAGTTGCTAAATAGTTTATCTATTTGTAGTTTTCTTTAAAAAAAAACAGAACACAGTATATTTTTTTAGTATTTTTTTATTATTAGTTGTTCGTTATTTTTACAAAATGCATAGATTTTTATTTGTTATTTGTTTCTTTCAAACCGAATTTCGTATATATTCATATTCGAATTTTAGTTATCATTTAATCTCGATTACGTTACATCACGCGTTTATTACTAGACGCCTTAAAATAGTTATATATATATATTTAGTCATCTGTTTATACATATATTTGTTCAATAAATTACAATTATCTACAGTACAATTTATGTACAACTGTATACTAAGTACTAGAAAACTCAATACAATTTCGTATAGTCCAGCATATAAACCACGAATTTTATGCGACAATCGCTAAAGAACAGACATCAAGAATTATAATTATTTTACAGTTGAAATGAAAGCGATTGCTTTCTGAAATTAATGTTGCGATTGGCGGTAAGTCGATGATAAATATGTCTGCCGTGTCTGCGTGCAGAGCTTTTTTAAACTTTCGATAAATTGCAACAGCGCGAGCGAATAGTGAATGAAAAGTAAAGCAGTTTGTATGAGAGAGCACCGGGTGAAAGTACAATCTGGCAAACACCAGTCACGTTTTAAAGATACCTCGCGAAAAATGTTTTTTTTTTTACGTTGTCTCTATATCAGTGATGCTCAAAACAGCGCCGGCGGGTGGAACTATTCAAAGCTCTCCGTAGATTTTATATGGACGCCCACAGAGCAAAAGCTCTCTCTGAGCAGCACTGCCCTATATACAGTTTTTTTTACGAAAGTGCAAAAAGTGACAGCTCTCCCTGGTGTAGTGAAAGCTTAAAAAAGATTTGCAAGCGCGAGCTACTCTAATTTCAACGCAACGTCCGAAAGAGCTTTCTACTATATAGATTTTTTACGCGCATGCAAAAAGTGAAAGCTTTCTCGGGTGTAATGAAAGCTTACAAAAGCTTTGCAGCTAGGCTAACATTTAAATACACCTAGCATTCTTCAAAGCAGTGGACGCATAAAATTCGTGGTTAGTGATATTATAACTAGTTTTGAGCTTTCATTAATTATTACAATTATTATTATTTTTAACTTTTATAGGTAAACGAGCATACAATGAGGGTCGTTAGATTACTTTAGCAATTAACATTAGTTCATTCATAAAGAGTTGTTCTCACATTTCAGTTGTATAATTGTACGTTAAGTGGAGCAAAAATTATTATCACGTTTTATATTTTTGTTTTCTTTTTATGTTAGGTAATTTTCTTCCTTTTCTTTCTTTGTGTTAAACCTTGATTTACAGCATTTTAGAAATTGGAATTGACAGAAAATATACACATCTAACAAGAAAGGGAATGCTGAAATTTATTATTACTAATATGCCTATATTTTTTGAGGTTAGAAAAATTTATTAGGTTTTCGGGCAAGCAAAAATATTAAAATATGTTTTTTTGTATTATTGGTTGATTTTTTTTTTAATTTTTTTGGAATAAATTATTAATAATGATTTACAATTTGTTCAATTCTTTTTCATCTTCGTTTTATTTGTTCAATTGTCGCCTATGCAGGTTTAGAGGCTGTTTGTATATAGCACTATATATACGGATATATCTACATATACATATTATATTAGTTTACATACATATGTTGTGTTGTTAGGTATAATAGCTATTTTGTATATACGACAGTAGTATTGTTTTTTTTTT